AAAAATAGTGAGGAACCTCTAATTTTTAAGAAACAGTTTGCTTTTTGCAGCATTTCTTGAAAGCAGAAGATTTGTGGAGTTGTCTACTGTTCTCTTTCTGAGCAATAGCAGAATTTTTGAAACCTGATTGATTAATACAGTGCTGTAATCTTAATCCTGAATTAAAAAAAAAAAAAAAACAACCAAAAAACAGTGTGTGCAGAGCCACAGTAGAACTCCTTTGTATTTAAAAAAATAGCATAATATTTCAACAGAAGTAAACACATATACCTTGTGAATATGAATTTATGAAAAGGTAAAAAAGGGATAAGAGATGAATATAGCCCATTGCTAAAAATATTCTCTATAATTCTCTATAATTCATTGTGTAATGCTTGGCCCAGGCTGGTTCAAGCTGTTTCCAGTGATGAAGGTTTTACTGTTTTTTTTTCTTATGAGTTTATTTAAGGTTAATGGATCCTATGAAGAATTTGTTTCTCATACTCTGTTCTTGGCTATAATTTTTCATTTTCCTTTCTCTAAATTAAACTTTTGGAAGCCATAACCATTCCAGAATTAATTAGTAGAAACTTAACACTTGACTTTCAAACTTTTGAATGGTTTTATTTCTGAGTCTATAAAATTTAGTATTCCAAATACACCATGTGAGACCTATACTTTGCAACAATTTTATTTTATCTAGGCCCTTGCGTGGTCATAATATAAAAGTCCTGACAGGTGCAATAAACTGAATAGTTTTGTAGACAGTTAATGCACTTGGAAAGAGATTCTATGAGTTGTTCATGAAAACACTGGCCAGTTAATGATTTTCAAAGTCCCTTTACTGGATTTAAGCAATTGCATTGTCGCATTTGAAATTTCACATCAGTAAATCCAACCAGCTCAAGTTGCCTAGGGAAGTTGTGGGTGCCCCATTCCTGGAGGTATTCAGTGCCAAGCTGGATGGGTCTTTGAGCAACCTGAACTGGTGGAAGGTATCCCTACCCATGATGGGGAGAGAATGTGTGGAGCTAGATGAAATTTAAGGTCTCTTCCAACCCAAAATGTTCTATGATTCTGTGGAAAGTATATTTTGCACGATTTGAATTTTCCTCTTCTTTTATTTTCCTTCTCCTCAATTCACTGAAGTAAAAAGTAACAAAATCAAACTGCATGATATTTTCTGAAAGTAAGTAACCCTTTCTTTTAAAATTTTTGCAGCTTTTGAAAGGTTCCTATGCATTCTGACCTCTTTTTAAATGGCTTTTTTTTTAATGAACTTCAACTTCTTAAAAAGATGTATCAAATGCTTGTACAGAAATCCTCAGACATTTTTCTGCAACATTACATTAATGACAGTGTTCCTAAAATTTCATATTTGATCCAGAGTCACATATTAGAACAGACAGGTAGAAGAAAAATATTTGTAAAGGTCTATTATAGCAACTGTCAAAAAAGAGTATCTGTTGAATGGTTTATACCATACTTTCATTGGAAATTATCTGATTCCACTAATCTGTGAAAATGACACATAAAACCAGGGCCACTTCTCTAAGGTGGCTTTGGACAGTTAGGTTGATATCACAGACTTTAGTTTTCTGATGGCAGTGGGCATTCCTGCTTTTTTTTTTTTAGTTTTAGATAACATTTTTCCTGCTACTGCAGAACCTGTGCTGTGGTAGCTGCTGGTGATTTAATTGATACTCCAGCCCTCAGTCTTGAATCACAGAGATAAAAATTTCACATTTCTTTACTGTTTAACTCTGGTGACTTTTAGAGACAGATTGTTCCTGGAGATGTTTTTGGAGGGAGGGTGAGAATGAAGGAATTTGTTTTATTTTGTTCTGCAGGAGGTTAATGATGCTGGCATTTGAATAATTTTTTGTTATTTAGCATCAGACTGCAATTCTAGACAATTCACTTCTGACCTGATGCTTCTTACTTAGCTTTAGCTATTGCACTGGACATCTTGCTGGTTGTCAAGATTCCCCTATGCCAATAATGCTCCCCAGGAGTATCAGGTTTTTTAACCCTAGATGACCAAAGAGATAGTTCGTACTTCTCGAAGGCACATTGAGGGATCTTGGCTGATTAGCTAGAGTAGCCGACTCGATTTTAGGTGGTTTTCTGCAGGTGAACTGTAACCTACCTTAAAACTGGAAGCTCAGCATTTTGGTGATTTTTTTTTTTTTGTCCTAGAAAGGGCTAAATATACAGAGAAGTACAAGAGGTTTTTTTAGATTTTTTAGGTAGTATTTGTTTCTTTGAGTTATAGCTATGCAATTTAAAGAAGCATGATTAATGCATGAGCTGGAATGTGTAATATCACTTCCATAAATGTTAAAGTGTAAAAATTTTAAGTATATGACCTCTCACTTCAACTGGGATTAAAACAACAAAAAAAAAGATTTTAAAGGAGTTAGACATGTTAGACATTTGTCTCTCTAATCCATTGTGAAGGAGATATTTACATTTCTAGGATTCCTCAAAACTGCCAAACCTTAAAATTATTTTTTTTTAATTTATCACAATTTTAATAGATATTTTCATACATGAAACAGTCCTCCCTTTGCTGCCTGTATCTCAGAGGGCTGTTACAGCTCAACACAAGCATCATACCTTCATAAGTCGTAGAAGAAGGGCTAATGCTTTTAGTGCAGAAAGAGCAGTATTGAACTCTGAGCTCTGTGTCTGTATATGATCATCAAGTACTTACATTTCTTTTGTAATAATGAACTTACTGTAACTTGGCACCCAATTCATTGTCTTGAGGCAAAATACAGTATGAAGGTAATTGGTCAAATTATTAGCCAGTTAAAGATTTTTAATGTTGACCATAAATGCAGAATTTCTCAGCAGCTAAAATGTGGTCATATCTTCTATTTTAATATCTCTATATCGGCTCATCCAGGATGTGTGAAATGCTTTTTTTGCTATGAAAAAGCAGAGACAAAAAGTATGACCGGTTCTTACAGTGGTCCAGTTTATAGTTAAGTTCTTAGAACTATCAAAAAGGAGGAGTTATAATTATTTTCAGGGCAAAAGTCTGACTTTTAATGACAGCGAATTAATAAAAAAGCAGTTTATAGCAGGCATGTTGACTGCCAATGTCACGAAAAATGGAAATGTTGATTCTGCTAGCAGCTGTGTTTAGAAGGAGACAGATGTCTTACGTAAGTAAAAGCATAAGGTCAGTTTCCCTGGATATCTCTATTTGAGAGATTAGACATAGAAAAGAGACACGAGTCCTGCAGTTGTAAAGGTTTTTATTCAGATTGATAAGTACTGGGTCCTGTAAGTGCCATAATGATTGTATATGAGTATATATAGATCTCTCTGTTTGCTGCACAAAAGAAAGATACTAGCTTAAAACTTGTGAGAAGAAGTGAAACAGCAGAAGAGCTGCTTCCAAAATATGATGTGCTGCATTTGAGAGATACACATAAGAATGCTGAAATATACCTCCTTTTTTGTTGTTTCCAATATTTGTTTTTCTAACTTGATAAACACTAAATGTGAAGATGAACTTCTATTCTAATTGCATATACTAAAGCTAGGATGGATGTGAACATAGTATGTGTTATAATCTTATTTTTTGAATGAAAAGACTTAGAAACCAGAAGAAAGTGCAGTGTACATTGTCATACATGCTGAACAGAAGATGGTTCTATATTTTCCATCCATTCTCTAAAGCACAAAAGACATCCGTGATATATACAAGCACATCTATTTCACAAGTCTCTTGGGAGTAACACGTGTCTGCCCAATATCTGTTGCAAACAGCAGTGACCTTAATTTTGGATAAAACTTTTTGCCTCTTTTCCAAGCTCAAATACTCCACCCATACAAGAAGTAGCAAATATGTCTAATTACCTCCAACTGATAAAACCAAAACACAGATAAAAAAATGGTCTGGGGAGTGGCAGGGAAATCCAAATATCTAAGATCCCAGTCACCTGTGTAAGTACTTGCTGTGTGACATTAAACCTCAGGCCCTCAGCTGCATTAATTGAGCGCTGCCCGTGTTACGGATACTGATCCGCTGGATGCTGCTGCGACAGCCGGAGCTGCTGCGGAGCAGAGTGGTGTGATGTGAAGTGATGCAGAAAACAGTAGAAGCTCTGTCGCTAGGTCAGCTGCAAGAAGAAGTGACGTGCGTGAATGTACAGTATGCGGAGTTTTCTGAATGATGCAGTCTCTCTTTCTCCCAAAGAACTTCAGCTAATCATACAAGGGGAATTCAGTTCCCTTTGGCAGGACTCCATGTTGGTCTGGATCCTTTTAATACTTCTGCTTCTACAGTTACTTGGCTCATGCTGCTTAAAAGATACATGACAGACTTAATGAAAGTATCTTCTTTTAAAAACTACTTGTCAGCAGTGATCATTCAATATTCTCGTTTGCATGTGTGGTTCTCATTATTCTGACATAGATATTAATACTGATGAAAATTAAAGAGAGAAAAATCCAAATATTTTCATACTTCCATTTTTCCACTAGCATCTGAGAAACCCCACAGCTAATCAGCCATAAATTTTCTTGATTTTTTGTTTATTTTTTCAATTCAAGTGTAATATAGCAGCACACAAAACTGTATTATAGCAGTAAGAGTTTCAGAATCCCAGTAGATGATGTAATTATGATTAAAAATTAGTATTATTGAATAATTCACTTTTTTAATATGCAAGAGTTATTTTTTCTCTCATTTTCAATAACCATCAGTCTTAATATCTATCTAATGAAAAAACATAAACAGTGTCATCTGTCAGGTTACTAACAGAGAATGCCACTTATTGGAGCTTCATTGTTTACTTTAGCAGGTAATTTGTGGACCGGAATCATTTAATTGTTCTGAGCACATAATTACATGCCAGCATTTTCCAATTTAATTAAAATGTACAAATCTGAAGATTAAGGGAATTTTTGAATTATTAATCATTTCTCCTCTAGGAAATCTTGTTGCTCTGCAGGAGATTTGTCCAGTGTACAACTATACGTATTTTTTTCCTTCTCTTTCACAGACAGACAATTTTCCCGCAGAGCCCAATTACATGGGCAGCAGGCAGCAGTTTGTTCAAAGGTAAGGCCTATTAAATAACTTTCTTGGCTTCCCCATTTGCATTCTTGTCAAAATTGCTTTGCCAGAGAGTACAATTCAACTTAGAACAAGTAAATACAACACTCTCTCTCTCTCTCTCTTTTTTTTTCTTTTTTTTTCTTTTTTTTTTTTTTTCTTTCAATATGTATTTCAGTAGCTCCACGTTCAAGGATCCAGAAAGAGCCAGCTTGAGGGACAGCGGGCATGGGGACAGTGATCAGGCTGACAGTGACCAAGACACTAACAAAGGCTCCTGCTGTGACATGTCTGTTAGGGAGGCACTCAAGATGAAAACTACTTCAACTAAAAGCCAGCCACTTGAACAAGGTGAGTGACGCCTACAATGCCTACAAAAGCATAAAGTTTATAACGTCATTATCAACCTATTAGTATTGCAGTTGTGATTTATCAGGGAGGAATAGCCCACTGATAATATTATCAGAGAAAACAGTAAATCTTGTCACTAGCCCAGAGCAAAGAACACAGTATCATTCAGAATGAACATGAAATGAAACCACAAGTGTCCAAAGCAGATTAAAAAAAAAATAGTACTTTTGAAAATGATTAGAATATACTCTATCTCTACTGGCATTGCCTGTGATATATTATATACAATCCTTCTGTCAAAGCGTGATTTGGAAATTCAAACTAGACATGACTGTAACAGATAAAAGAACACCAGTCATTTATATTCCTCATGTAGTTTGGAGAAAAGGCAAAGAAAGTGCTTCGCATAAAAGACAAGAGTAAAAATGAATCAGAAGATGTTTTCATTTCATGGATGCATTTTCCTATTTGTAATGTTGATTTCACAATTAAGAGTACCGTGAGAAGTGTCGTATACTAATACAATCTTATTTTCAGTATACTTTCATTTACATCCCAGGAAAGTAGCAAAGATTAAGACTGTCTGTGAAAGAGCAAAATTACTTAGATCAGGACAATGACGATGTTCTCTGACAGCATTCATTCTGACAAACAAGCACATTTATTTCCTCAAACTGTGTCCAATTCTATTTTTTTTTTCAGATGTGTTTTATCTAATTAGGAGGTCTTTTATTTCAAAAGATACACTTCTTTTTTTTTAGAGAATCAGACAGACAAAGCACTCCAGCATTTTCTGCCTTTATGTTTTTCTTCTATGCTGTAAGCAATACACAAGTGTATCACTGAATGAGTTTTAAATGTTTTTTGTGTTTTCTATTATTTTACTTTGTTGTGGGGAGGATGTTACACTGTTAAATATAGTTAGGAAATTATTAAATCAGTCAGCCTTAATAAGAACTTATATTTTTAATTAAGCAGAAATATATGATAAGGTTTTTATTAGTTGTTGATTAATTGGACCTGGGTTTTTCTCCTCTTAGCTTAGTCTGATCTGTAGTACAGTCGACAGGAAATACACGTTCAACTTCATTTTTCTGATTATGTTGAGATCGCAATATAATTTTTTGCAGTACAGAATATTTAGAATGCTGCAGTATAATTTATTCTGTATACATTTGGAGGTTGACCTCATATGTGACCTTATTTTCCAAGTAATAAATGCCGGAAAGATTATTTTTTCCTGACCTTTTGCCACAGCAACTCTCTGCTTATAATTGGACATTGATCTGTATAAAGATGCAGTGCAGGATTTTTTTTAAAGAAACTATTTGAGCATATGTCTTATTCTCTCAGTTTTGCGTGATATGAAGACAAAAATTCTGGATTTCCATCTATCAAGTACAGCCATGAAAGAGCTTTAAAATTTTAAAAATTTCACTAGGAAACTATCTAGTATTCAGATTAAAATTGCGTGTTTTTTCAGTGAAGGATTGTATGCCCAGTGTTCATAATACTGCAGTTTGTCCAGCAGCATCAACCCAATTCTGGTCAAAATATATGCAATCTAGTAAGCACATTAAGCCAACCATTCCCATTGCTTAATTTCATTGTAATGCAAAGAGTTATATGCAGGTTTACATTTGTCATTATACTTAGTTGAGCTGCCCTATTCATCAAGAAAATTTTTTCCAATCGCTCAGATGAATTCCTCATATTCTTATGAAACATATATTGAATTGTGAACATTAAGTATTGTCAGCCACTGATTGACAGCAGTGGCTGTTTATATGAATTTCTTTGCTGTGGAAAATAAAATAAAATAATGGGGATAGAGAGACAATTTTTTCCCCTTTTTAAAAAAATTTTTTCTTCCCTCCAAATATAATTACAAATAGTAATGATATAAATTTGTTTGCTTGAATGAACTCTTCCGTCTCTAGTGTGCTATAATAAAATCATTGTTATATTATGAAAACTGAACCTGCATCAAGCACCTTATGGGATTTCAGGTCATTGCAGTAATAAATGTGGTGCTATGTGTTGTTCCCAATGAAATCAATGATTACTTGTCATTGAGCTTAGTATGATTAGGATTCTTAGCCCAAGGTAATATTTCTCTTTTGAAAGAAGATAAATAAAATTGTTTTCTCTAGTCATAAGCCAAGTTGAAGGAGGGTAAGAAATATGATATATGTGATTAGGATAGAAAAAGAATTGAATTTTTCTTTAGAGAAAAATTGTTTTCTGGGAAAAGGAAATGGAGAGCTTGCTAGAACCAATTGTCTCCAGCAATGCCTGAAGCAATATCAGAAGTTGTGGTTCTGTCATCCTTCTGGGTTGTATGCAGGGAAGGGAATTCACTATTTTGTAGCCAAGTTCTAGGCTTGATTATTGTCTTTTAGCTTCTGCTATTAGAAAAACACTTATAATTAAGTCATATGAAATTCGTGAAAAAGTATCTGGATTAACTGTGAAGTCAGGATCTTGATGTGAGAATAATTTTAAAATGAGTTAAGTTTAAGTTTGACATATTCTTTGCATAATTCCAAACACTATTGTTATGCATCCAATTCTACCCATGGCAGTAATAAGAATTCTAGTTTTACCAGTGTTTTGACTACAATTTTGAGCAACTCTACCCCAGATGGTTGAAAATTAAAAGGCCATACTGAGATAAAAAGTATATTGGTAGCACTACAGCAATTGTGCTTCTCTCAGAAGAAGTAACAGAAAAGTAGGAAATTTTATGAAAAAATAATTTTGTAGACAGGATGTCTTCTGATTTCAGAATTAGATGGGAAGCAGTTAAGCTTACTTTGTGATTTTAATTTAATTAATGGAAACAGTGAATGATAGAGCCTGTCAGTTTACTATTTAAATAGTTGATTTCAAGAAAAATATATCCAGATAGCAAGTTTTTTTCTGGTAGTGATTTTAAACATTTTCACTACCATTTTCACTAATGAGAAAGACTATGCAAATTAGATATAATTAATTTCATAGTTAATGAAATGCTTATGGAATGGCCTTAATGGAAGGAATGCAGAAACACCCCCCAAACTGTAAAAATTATCATGACAGTAAATCTTGTGTTACAATAAGCACATCCCACTTGAATTTTACTCAGCCTTATACTCTCTTGCTGTGACATCCAAGCCACTTTCTGCATGGGAATATCTAGCTGCCACTTAAGCTTACTTAAGCTACCTTAGTCAGCTGTCTTTACTAAACAACTTGTTCCATATGCTTCCTGCTCCTTTAATAGAATGGTTTTCGATAAATTTGTTTTCTTTACTTGTCTTTTTTTTTTTACCACTTCTGTTGCTGATACTTTAAATCCTATCACTAGTTTGGACAGTTTGAGATCACCCTACTTAGAAGTCTTACAAGGACTATTAGTTTTGAGCACATCTGTCAAATTGCCTGTTTATTTCACTTGAAGTTGTAGCATGTAATATTCACTTTCTGCATTAAATAGCAGAGTAATTGTTTTGTTTGGTATGGTTTAAGAATAACAACAATAATCTGCATTTCTTTGAAAGGTATCCAAAGATGAAAATTATATCATAACCCATAAAATATAAACAATAATATCTACAAGGGAGCAGTAAAACAGCAAGATGTTAATTTTATACTTTTCTTAGTGAATCTTGCATATGCTTACCTTATAATCAGTAAAAAATACCAAGTTATGGACTTTTCTGTAGTTACTCATAAATTATTGTCTTTGTTAGATTTCCCCAGGAATTTTTAGTTTCTTTTTCTTTTCTGCTTTTTTTTTTTTTTTCTTTTCTGCCTGTGTTTTCTTGTTCCATTGTAAACCTACACTTTCATGTGTTTGTCAAAAAAACTTCAAGGGATTAAATATCTCCAAATTCAGTAGCTTTGTTGAGTTTTTGCTTTATCACTGTGCGTTACATCTTGCTTTCAACACAGTTTCTTGCCATTCACACCTGCATCCCACAGAAGAGCCATTTCTACATATGCTGTTGCCTCATTAACAATAGTGTGGATCCTGAGAAAAAAAGAAAAAATCCAGAGGCAACTGCTTGGAGGAAGGGTGAAATGAAACTCTTCAGCATAGTTGTCAGAGTCTCCTCTAGGACCAAGGCTGCCCATCAGACTTCTCTGTAAAATAGCACCATTTTAGTCTAGGGTATTGTTAGTAGTATGAAAGAAATTTAATGTATCTACATGAAAAAAGTGATACAAAGTGTAAATTGAGAATATAATAGCTCTTTCTTCATCACAACAAAAATACATTTGCATCACAACTGATGCAGTGCTGCATGTAAGTCTTAGGAATAAAAATTATATCAGTTCTAGAGGCTATGAGCACTGTTTCTTATCTTTTGTGTTTGTCCACTGAATGTGTTCACAAAACAAGTCTGTAGTAACTTGTTCATTTGTAGTCTCCATTTACTAAACAAGACTGATCCTAGAAATCAAGTATCCTGCATTATCCATCTGCAGCAGAGCAGAAATTACAAAATTTTTTTGCCACAATTTTTCTGGACTATCCATTAATTTTCTCGCCATAATCTTGCTAGAGTCTGTTGGATAATTAAAATCCATTCTATTTAACTGAGTTAGAATCAGTCTAGACTGATAAGTGCAGAAAGTTCATCAAGCACATTTCTGCTGTCTGACATCATCACCAATGCTTTCCATGCCATTGGGGATGATGAGTTCTTTTATGAATACACCAGCTTAATGAGATAATAGGAAAAGAAGATTGTGGAGAAATATTTCTTTTCAAAGTTTGCAAAACTGGTAATGACCTTTTCTGAGAAACTGAAGGAGGCTGGGAGTCTCCAGGGTCTGACACAACATGTGAAAACTTTTGTTCATCAATGCTTCCTCCCATAGGTTTTCTCATCTGGACAGAACATCTATCACATTCTCTCTGTGCTCAAAATATCTGTCAGACTGCCCTTCTTGCTCTGACACTGCTTAATAGTCTTTATGTCCAGCACTATTATCCTTTCTAACTTGCTTAC